TCCTTCTCTCTGGAAGATGCAGCAAGAAGGCCTCACTAGACACCAGCACCTTCATCTTTTAAATTATATTTTTCTACTTTTATTATAATGATAAACCATTGTTTTTCTGCAACTTAAGTTCAAAAAAGGTATAAACTGATGGTTAATCATAGGACAACTGAGAAAACCAAATATACATTAACGCCTTATGAGTAAAATTAGAAGTTACAGTGAGATACCCTGAACTTCGCATTTAAATAATTTTTCCAAAATGTCTACTTAGGTTCAGGTTCAAATTGATTATTAGTTTTAAAAAATGGAAAAAGTTAACAAACTTGAGATAGAAATTCTAAAAATCCAGCACGTCACACTTGACTATTTCAGATTTTTGTTTCCAAAAAAAGTAGACTGATCATCAAAATTTTCCCTTAGAAAAATGTAAGTCTAACCAGCATTAGAAACCAGTTTTAGAATATGTCCATTAACTGTCAGTCCGCCGTTCAGCCCCAAACTCACCAGGTTAACTTTCTGACTCTATAGAATTACTTTTTCTGAACACTTCAAACAGAATCACGTAATATATACTCTTGTGCCTAGCTCCTTTCATTTAGTGCATTTTTAAAGTTCATGTATGTTACAACATGAATCAGCAATTTCTTTGTATTGTATAGACATAACAGTTTGTCTATTAATTCACCAGTTGATGGGCAGATAGGCTATTTCCAATTTGGGGATATTATCTATAATGCTGATATGAATATTTGTATGTGGGTAGATACACAAGAGTAGAATTGCTAGATTATTATGGCAAATTTTTTGTCAACATTGTAAAGATAAATATTTCTAAAGTGACTGTATCATTTTATATTGCTACCAGTAGTATATGAATGTTCCTGTTTGTGGTTATATTTTGAGTTCTTATCCTTTAGGGATACATACAGAAATAGTAAGGGCTAAAATGATATAATTTGGGAGATCTGATTCAAAATAACTAGTGTTAGAAAAATGGGTAGCTGATATAGACGAAACAGGGTTGATTGTATCTCCACAACTGCAGCGGTGGTAGTAGTGACAACAGCCACTTACCCCAGCAAGTACTACAGAATATGCTATGATAGGTACTATTTTAAGTACTTTAGACATATTAGCTCATTTAATCCCTATAATAACCTTAAGAGAAACCTCCTATTATCATCCTTATTTTAGAATTAAGAAAGCAGAGGTCCCAAAACCTTCAGTGAAGTGGTTAAATTAAGACTAGAATCAATATAAGACAGCCTTTGGAGTTGGTGCTCTTAAACACTAGCCCAACCTCACCAACAAGTAAACATTTCTCGCAAGTATAAGCAAAGAAAAACAAAGAAATATAAAAATTTAGGAGGCTTCTATGAAAATATTAAGCAGAAAATCAAATGTTAACTAAATGTAAGTATATATTTAATATGTGGCAATAACCCTGTTATCTGGGCCATAAAATATGAATTTTTATTTTCTTCCTTTTATTTAGTTGTAAATTTTACTTTTAATACATCGATTGTATATACCCAAAGTGTTCAAGATTGACAGTGTAAATGATTCAAACTTCATGAATCTGAAAACAGTTGACCAATGCAGTGGCTCATGCCTGTAATGTGGGAGGCCAAGGATCATTTGTGCTCAAGAGTTGGAGACCAAGCCCAAGCAATAGTGAGACCCCCATCTCTACTAAAAATAGAAAAATTAGCTGGGTACATGCTAATTAGTGGCATGTGTCTATAGTTCCAAGTACTTAGGAGGCTAAGGCAGGAAGATCACCTAGCCCAGGAGTTTCAGGCTGCAGTGAGGTAAGATGGCACCACTCACCACTGTACTCTAGCCAGGGCAACAGAGTGAGACTGTGTCTCCAAAAAAAAAAAAAAAAAAAAGAGTTGACTTGATGAACAGTAAGATTTTACAAGTTTCAAAGTTTTTAAGGACATTTAAAGATATACTGAATGAGTTGGCTGAATGCCAAATCTTTAAGTAGCTCAGATTTAAACAATTTCAAATATCCTTCTTAAATTTCTCATAAATTAAAAAGTAGAAGACTCACAGAAAAGAAAAAACCTTGTCTTGTGATATTAGAAGGTAATTAGTCTATATAAATATGTTTAACTGGAAAGGTTTTATTCATTATCTTTTGATGTGATTTGATCACAGGCAATCAAATCAGCATATCCTGAACATTTCCTCTTATAAGCACTTCTAAAAAGTTACTGATGATCTAAATCAGAGGTGGCCAAACTCTTAAAAAAAAAACTATATACTGAGACCCCACATGGCCCACCAACCTAAAGTATCTGCTGTCTGATCTTTATTATTATTATTTTTTTTTACAAAAAAGGTTTACCCACTCCGAAAAATTTCTAAAGGAATTTTTGTTCAAACCTATTTTACCAATAAACTCTGATTATCAATTTATGATGGAAGAAGTCATCAGAAAGGCACTATTATTGCTGCAGAACTCAGTCTGGACCCAGGCGTAATGTCTGTATTTTGCTGTATATAATATACTCCCATGTACAAGGTGCATCCATGTTTTCAAGGTGTTTCAGGGAAAAACCTTTCATTTCCTTTTTTTTTTTTTTTTTTTTTT